TGGCTCTAATGTATGCACGCGGAATCAGCGGCCAGAAGATTGAATAAAATTTTCTGTAAAGATGGCATTCCACTTGGATCACTCTTAAGAAACTCTGTAACTCTGGGACTACTTTCCAATTGACCCATCGGTATATATATAATTGAATATTACCGCCTTTGTCGAGACTACGGTCGAAGCTTCTTTGCTTGCGGGGAAAACAGTCGACAATTACTTCCAATCGATATTTCGATGGCACGTAAAAAACTGAATTAAAAGCTTTTGGTTATGTATACAATAGCGTACGATCACATAATTTCCGCAAAAGAAAAATAAAACTTCGCTCGTGTCGCTTGCACCCACTAAAATAGTAAATCACAACGCCAGTGCAGCAATCAATGCCATCATAAAGTTCAGGTGCTTATTGCTCACATGTAGCTGACCAATTTGTAAATTGAAAATATACGGAAAGAAAAGCGAAAGAAAGTGAAACACACAACACGGAAGCAGCAGCAGCAGCAGACGCGGCGGCAATGGCAACACCATTGGTGGCAGCAACCGCAGATTGCCACCGTTGATTGTCGGATTGCTGCTGGCGCGTAAGATGCCTTACACACCGTACGTACATATATGCGTATGGATGTGTGTGTATACAAATGCTCGCATATGAGCAGCGAGTTGGCGTTGGTAAGCCGCAAAATTACAATAGTGGCAAAAAGTGTATGCGTTTATAGCAATTTATCACTTAAGCTTTTTTGCAACGCATAAAATCATAATATTATATATGTATATATGTGCATGTGCACACACGCACATTCGTGGGTATGCAAGAAAAATTACACACAAGTTTGCGCTGTCGAGTAAATTATGCGCGTACCTACGCCGGCTGCCTACGAAAGTGAATGTGACGCGCAACGCCAACCATTTAAAGCTCATAAATCTCTATTATGAAAGTTCTGTTAAAAAAAACAATAAACAATAAACAAAAACAAAGGAAACAAAAAATAATAATTACAAACTAAAATAATGAAAGAATTCGGCAAGCAGTACACACATACAAGCAAACATTGCGGCGAATAAAAAAATGTTGTACACGCATTCACAACCAACTCAATTGGGCGAAAGCAACAGCGAAGCAACAACAACCGGCACAGTAGCAGGAAGCATCTTTCGAGTGGCACCTTAGACGAAAATCAACGAAATCAAATTGAAACTGCAGCAGAAGACTAAATCAGTTCAATTAAAGGTCAGCAAGCGCAAGAAGGCGCGAGCCAGAGTGAGCGGTAAAGAGAGTGGCTGAAAGCAAATTTTAGATAAGGCAATAGAATAACATGTTTTACTTGTGCAGCTCTGCACTTTGAGACTGGCGCTGAAGCAGCAAGCAGCAATGAATGGCTGCCAACAGCGTAGAGGCCGATTTGCTCCCGGGAATTTAAGGAATTTCTCATAGAGTAAACAACAGACAGAAATAGTGTAGAAAGAAAATGGCGAAAAATGATTGCCAAAGTCAAGCTGGCGCAGTGTTATTGGCAAAATAAAATGTAGTCAACTTATAGGAGTTGAAATAAGAAGAAACTAACAAGAAATATCTATAAAAACAAAAAAACGAATAACCGGCACAAGTACATTTCTTATAGCATAAAAGGGTATAAAATCGGTCTGTTTGTATGGCAGCTACATATATATACATACATATGCTATAGTGATCCCAAGCGAACAATTTCTACGAATATTATAACGTTGCCTTAAACAATAACAAATTTCGTATTAAATATATTAAATAAAAAATATTTCCATACAAAAAGAATACAAATTTTATATAGTTTTCTAAAAAAAATAAATTTTAAAAATAACCTTAGAACAAATTTAGTTAAAATTGATATTTGAAAATGTGTACTATAAAAATATTTATGAATCGAAAGTTCAGAAATCAAGAAAACAAATATGTACATATATATGTGTATGGACTATGTATGCGTTCATTTAAAATTAAAAGAATTAATTTTAATTGCAATTATTATCATTTTAAGAACTTCATTAAGCCGCTTGTCAGCACTTCCGATGCAGTGACAAAATCTATTTTTGCAACGAAGCAAAGCGACGCCACGTTGCCAGTTGTTTTTGTTGTGTAAAAATGTATTTATTTTTATTGCAACTCACACAGTCATATATTGATAATGAAAAATGTAAATGCATATAAGATACATATACGTGCATGTGTGTTTGTATGTATTGAGGTACATTGCACTGTCACCATATAGAAACCTACATATGTACATATGTATATGCAAATGCCGATTCATGCCGAGACATGTGATAAGCTAAGCCGCTGATAGATAATGACACTAGGATACACACATACATACATATGTATGTACAACTAGCTGCATACACCGATATATATGTACATATATGAATGTACACATGCATGGGTACATTACTTTTATACTTTCTATAGCATTTTATTACCAGTATGCAATAAACTGCTTTTCGAATATTTGTTGTTGTAGCTAAAATTAACTAAGATGCACTTGAAGTGAATGAATCTGCGTAGAAAAGCGAAATGAAAAGCTATAGTAAGATTGCTGCGACTCAGCATGTGCATACATTAGACTCAGACACACAGTTATAAGTACATATGTATATACATACATACATGCATATGCAGATTTGTATATAGAAAGTTTAGATGTACGCATTATTGCATCCAAGCAAATGGAACTTTAAAGAAAGCAAGAATGGAGCAAGGGCAAAAAAGTGTGTGTGCATGCGCATATTTATAGGCGAGCGGGAATCGATCAATTGGGCCAGAGCAATCATTTGAAATAAGTTCAAGAAACTTTTCTGTAAAGAAATCTTAAAAGTGCTAGACATTTCTAATTTGATTTTAATGTTTTACCGTATATGTATTTATATACAAAAATAATGAAAGTTAGTTGGACAATTGAATACCAAGGTTCTTTCTACCTTAATTCGGAACCTGCCCCAAATTTGTACAGGCATAAACATACATACATACATATCAATAAAGTGCATTAATATGTTTACAAAAGCAAGATTATACTTAGTAATTCCCTTTCTACCCTCCAGCTAAAAATAATAGACACTTTGGTAATCATTTCCATTAAAAAAATTTATTTATTATAAATACAAATATATAAAAATAAAAATAAATTAAATATAAGAAAAAAAAAATTGTTTAAATAAATAAATAAAACAATATAAAAAAATAAATAAATAAAACAATACAAAAAAAATAAATAAATAAAACAATATAAAAAAAATAAATAAAAAAAGGAAATAAATAAAAAAATAAATTAATTAAAAAATAAAAAAATAAATAAATAAAAAGGAAATAATTAAATAAATAACAAAATAATAAAAAATAATAATATATAAAAAATAACCACAAAAAAAAATTTTTCAGTATAAAAAGATATTTAAAAAAAAAATTTATTAATATATGAAAGTAATAAATAATATATAAAAAATAACTACAAAAACAAATTTTTTTAATATAAAAAAAAATATTTAAAAAAAAAGTAATTAAAAATAAATAAATCATAAAATAAATAATATATAACAAAATAAATAATATATAACAAAATAAATAATATATAGAAAATAATGATTAAATAAATAAAAAAAAATTAATACATCAATAATGAATAAAAAAAAAAAAAAATATGTTAACAAATAAAAAATTAGTAAAAAAAAAAATAAATTAATAAAAAAAAATAAATTAATAAAAACAAATAAATTAATAAAAAAAATAAATTAATACAAAAAATAAATTAATAAAAAAAATAAATTAATAATAAAATAAATTTTGGCAAATAAAAATATATTTTTATGCAATAATATAAGCGCCATGTAATTAAAGCATTAACATTTTGTATAAAAAATTGGGGCATGATAGCTTTTTTTCTCTACAACAACACATACTGGAGTCAAACTGTTCGACTAACCAACCAATAAAACAATCAAAGAAATGGAATTTACATGCTCAAAATTGTATTTCTACGCACCAAAGCATAAACGCGTGTTTGTCTTCTCCACAATATCTTTTTCTGTAATAAAGTTGCAAACTATCTAGCCATACAGCCATTGCCGACCAACACACACATTATTGGCAATTTATGAGCGTAGCAAATTCGGTTGCAACAAAAATTCAAATGTGCCCCACATTTTCTCGACGCGCCTGGCCGGCATTAGTGCCCCCACAAATGTTCAGCAAGCTAGCTGCCGCCACCGCCAACTAGTGTTGTTGTTGTTTATAAGTGATATTTATTGTATTTTCTTTTTCTCTGTGTATGAATTAATGTTTATGTAGTGATTTTTCACAGCTCACGCTTTTTTGTACGAAAATTAGAAATGCACAAGTGTTTAGTGCGTAGCTGCGCACATGCATACTTACATGCATATGTGTCTATAAACATACAGACATTGATAATGAAAACAGCGAAAGTGTTGGGTTAGTTTTTTCTTTCATTTATTTCAGACCGGAACAGTGAAGTAAGCGAAATTCCAAATATTTTGGAGAAAAGCAGAAGCGAAATTTATTAATTTAATGAATGAACAATCAAAAAGTAATTCGATAAATTGTTAAAAAAAAATACCACATCATGATCAAAAGATTTGCTAATGATTTCTGCTTTTATTTTGAGTGAAAATTCTTTATTTTATTTTAATTGTCAACTGATCATCTGATGATAAATACTTTGAAAATGACAATATGTGGCAGTCAAAACAATATGCTGTCAAAAATAAACAAGCTGCACCAAAACACCATATAACGAAAAAAACGAAAAATCTATATTTTTTTCATTGCAATTAAAGCATCGGTTCTGTATTGACGATACTCAGTGATTTTGACGAGCTCCTCCGTCCGATCCGTCATTTGAGTGTTTGTGACAGCTGGTTTCCTAACATGCTTCTTCATCTGTTCTTTTTTCAATTTAGTGAAATATCTTTAAAATTTTTCTTACCTAAAAAACAACTGAACATTTGGAAATACTCACATAAGTACATGAAATATTCAATAGTGGAAAGAGTGTCGCGCTACGCCAACAGTAATGATCAATGAATCGCCAACACCAGCTGGAGAGTAAACACTTTCGCAATTATATCTTACGTAGTTTGTATGAATATACATACATACACTTTCGGCTTTTTATGGAGATGATGGTGAAGGCAAATATGTAGTCATAAAGAACGTCGGCGCGTGTAAACAAAAGTAAAAGTTATAAGTGATTTTCGGTTTGCATATATCGAACAAAAGTTGGTGTACATTTAGATCGCGAGCGAATTTTATTATTTATTATTTTTGTACCGGCAGCATAAATTCGCCAAATAATTTGAAAACGTGCTTCCAAGATTACAGTCCTTGTGTGTATTAAAATCTGGGTTCTTTAAGTTAACGAAGCCCCGTCTGTTGTGGTAACTTATATTATATCCCACAATAGCCGGTTTTACACGAATTTTATCCGACCAAGAGCAGTTATTTCATTAATCTAACACTATTTGGACCGGTAGGTATTTATGATCAGGCAGTATGCTGTTTACGCAGTGAATATGTTCAAAATGGTATAGATGAGCAAATAAGGTGTGCATGTATGTTTACGAGTAATTCTGCTATAATAAAACTAAATAAACCGCACTATACAAACGGCTTGGTACACATAGAAAATGCCGTGCAATAAAACGATATAAAAATACTTTGTATATTTATTAACGCACTTCTATAGTCTCGCCTTTTAATAAGAATTCAGCAATGTGAAAAGGTGGGAGATGAGGAAATAGAAGCAAAATACTGTGCATCAAAGCAAACACGAGAAAATGCAGCTGCTTCGGTGGCCCAGCCAACCAGGCTCGACCGACCAAAATGCTGACGCGTTGCCAAATCTGTTGGTATGCACTTTCGGAAACATTTTTGTTATCAGTATTTCGTACACATAAACAATACAATAACACAGCGCTTTAAAATACTAAATTGCATTTGACTTAACACTGTCGAAATATGCATCAATTCTGAGTTAATGACCAACGTAGCTATATAATGAATGACCAGTGACCAATGATCACTGGGATTTTCAAAGCAATCTATGAGCAAATAACTTTGGCAATTACAACAAATGGTGTCGAAGAAAACTGTTGTAAAACCAATGCGAATAAACGATAAGAAAATGCAAAGGAAAGCAGCAGAAAAAGAAACTGCTGGAGTAACGTAGCTGTAGCGCCGTAGACGCCGCCGCCGCTTCCACAATTTACGAAGAAACAACGGCATCGACGGCAAAGTAGTCAAATAGAACGGGAAATGAAACTATGGAATGGGACGACAAACATTTTTGTAAATAATTTGTTTAGATTACGATATATGTGGTAAGAAATAAAACAATTACGTTTGTTGCTTAATCCATTAGTTCGCACTCCAATTTGCAGCAATCATCTAGAAAATTTTTTGCTTTTCTTCAAATTTTATTCGTAATTTTCTTTATAGCTTTTCTTTACAGCACTTGTAACTTTACTTGTATTGGTTACTTGCATTTTTTGTGAAATCTTTTACTATTTTCGTAACTATTGTATGTTAAGTATATACTTTGCTTATAAACTTATTGCACTTTATCAATTTCACTATGCATATTTATACATTGCACTTGTTTATATTTGCTCTGTTATTATTTTTGGCTAATGCCCAGCCAACTTGTCTGTACATTTTACCGAATAATTACCGAAACGACGGCGAATCTCATCAACGCAACATCACTTACGGACGAAAAAAACGGACTGAAAGCAGAAAATTATAAGATTCCAAGAAGAAGCGGAATAGAAAACTTTTGCCAATTGGATAAAAACATACGCAGTTGGCAACGCTCTTAGAGGACTAGTGATGCCAGCTCATATAAGAAATTATTTGCAGCTGTATAAATAGTTACCTTGTAAGAACTACTCTATTACATTTTCTTTTAATGATAATTTAAATTTTATTGTAAAAATTTATATAATTGCTAAACAGCCTTCTTATTTATACAAAATTCCCAATTTGGTAGACCATACGTCCAGGTACAGTACGAATAACAATATGAAAAGCAAATTTATGTTTCGTATTCATACTGTACTTTGGGTAAAAAATATGCGGCAAATTTTTCAATAGTATTTAGTCTTCCTAAAATATAAGTAATAATAAACATTAAGCTTATTGTAGCCTAGTTTGAGACAAGCTATGCTAAGAATCTACAAAAGTGTTTGTATATGCGTAATTTTCAAGGCAATGTTGTTTGTCCAACATCGCCCTATATATTATTCGCAAAAGTTTCTTTAACTTTAGCAAGAAGTTTAATTAGTCAAGAAGCTTATATTCAGTTAACACAAGATTTGAAGGAATTTTAATATTCAAATTCATAATTTTTAACACGTTTATCACGTACATTTTCACTTTGGCTGCAATCTGCTAATAATATAAATTCAACTATTATTTCTTCTTAATATATTTCATATATTTCTTTGCATTAAATGTATCCTCAACTTCCTCCATGATCTTGACCTTCTTTCGTGGTTTACGTGCTTCTAACCGTGCCTTCCGCTCAGCTTCGCTTAAAGTACTTAGGTCCAATGGCAGCTATTATTGTAAAAGGTATAAGTATTATATATGTTGATAACTGACAGTTGTCTCGTCTAATTCTCTTAATTCTCACCTTGATTATTTTCCTTGGCTCGTGATAGCGTATGTTAATTGTGGAACCATCAGGCTGCACAACGACCGTAGGATACATGCGGCAATACACGGAGCGATGTAGTCTTGTTACAGCAGCTGTTGCGGAAGAGATACAACGAATCTGTTGCTGACTTTTTGTTATTATATGTTTTAGAAGCATTTTTGTAATTATCTAATCCGATTTTTATACAAATGTGCTGCAGGAATTAAATATATAATTAAAAGTTTTCAGCTCTTGGAAACAGCTGTTTGTTCACTCGGCAATGATAATAAAACGTAACGAGTTAGAGATGGGAGATTGTTCGGAGCGCATTCGTTATGGATATTTGTAGCCTTTTAAAGAAAAGTTTTTGATATTGGAAACAGTAAAATTTATTTTTGTTAATTAAAAAAAAAAAATTATATGAAGAATTTCAAAGGATATTTTATAAAAACATGTGATAACAAAACTTTTTCCCGCTAGTGTTTCTTGAGCAACCATGTATATTCGATCTGGTTTCATCACTCGCTGCTCGACAAGAAACGTTGAAAATTGACGTTCGTTGTCGCCCAAGTGAGCTGTCATATTGGTAAGTGCGGAAAATTGGTTAGTTATTTTACACAATACTTAATTTTCTGAATTTATTAAGTGGTAAACTTATATAAATTTTCTTCAAATCATAATTATTAGTGTCCTCACAGTTTAATAACCAGTGGAAAATCGAAAAACCTTTTATTTCTACAAAATAAAGTCGAGGTGTTTGCTTGAAGAAATTACATAATTAGTAGTGCTAACTTTTGACGTTAAATTATGTAGTTGCTTCTTATAACGCTATCGTTAATATTGGTTTATTAAATTTTAATTTTATTTTTATTAACGTAACCTATTTTTCCCTTCGCAGAAATCCTTTGTTATTGAAATGGCTTCACGTCGTATTGCACAGACTTCTATCAACTGGGCCGCTCTGGCCGAGCGTGTGCCTGCTAATCAAAAGGCCAACTTCGGTGCTTTCAAAACCAAATCCGACGTTTACTTGCGTAGTGTTTTGGCCAATCCCGAAAATCCACCACAAATCAACTGGGCTCACTACAAGCAATTGATTCCAGTCGCTGGTATGGTTGATACGTTCCAGAAACAATATGAAGCACTGAAAGTACCATACCCAGTTGATAATGTAACCCCACAAGTGGAGGCTGAAATCAAGGAAACCAAGACCGAAATCGAAAGTTTCAAAAAGGGTTCCCAATCACGCATTGCTCAGTACCAGCAAAACATTGATCATCTAAAACAAATGTTGCCATACGACCAAATGACAATGGAAGACTACCGTGATTCATTCCCTGAACAAGCTTTGGATCCTATTAACCGACCATCATTCTGGCCTCATGATGCTGAAGAACAAAGAGACAACAAAGACAGGGAGCACGCTGAACATTAAATGTTACGAATAGTTCTAGGCAAAAAAGCATTGAGAACAGCGATTTAAACAAAAAGTTGTAATTTGCAATTAAAAACTTATAAATGTAAAAACTCAATACCGAATAAAAGTTTTGTTTAAATTAAGTAGTTTAACAAAAAAATAAATTAACGGTACGTACAGTAAACAATCAACATTAACTTTAAACATATCTGTACATAAACAAATGCCTGCAGAATATAAACTTACTTGTAGCATTTACTATCTTATGTTAAAAACCACTTAATTTAATTTACGTGGTTTTGGTTTTAAGCTTTATGAAATTCTTTTGTAGAAACTAAGCGCCGTATATTCGCATTGACGGCGTTGATTTAAATTCACTTGCCTATCTTCAATCAATTTCTCAAACATGGAAAGCAGAGTTGCAGCTATTTGATTTCTTATATTTATTTTTCCTTTTTGTTAATATTATATGTTTTTTTAATTTCAGTATACAGAACTCATTATATGTTTCAGTTAATATTGTAAATGAAAGAAACATTAATTAAAGCAGAATTGGCAAAGAAAATATAAACTCGATTGTGAAGATATATAAATACTCGATAACCCCAGTCGTTTACATACAACCCTGTTCATGGCGACATCGTCGACTACTCGTCAATCGTAATTTTGTTGTGGCCAAGTGTGGTTCCACGAATAAGTCAGAGTGCAATTTGTTTTTTTTTTACAAGTAAATTGTGGAATTTTCTTTTATATTTTCCTTTAATTCGATCGAGCAATTTAAGTTTAAAAATATAAGCGCGTTTGGCTATTCTAATGGAAAAACCACGGCGGTTATTACTCCAAACATGTGCCGATTTACATTTTCAAATGTAATCTGAGCAAACAAAAGTGCATAATTGTAGATTTGTTGGTGGAAAGTGACGTGAAAATTTCCATGTAAGCATATTGAAAAAGTCTCAGTGCAAATAAAGTATTCCTACAAAAAAATTGTAAGGCATATAAATGCAAGTGCAAATTTGGCAATTTGTATTATAATATGTGTGTAGGGCGGAAACTGTGCGTACAAGTACAAAGTTGAAGTGTGAATATATCGTATGAAGTTATGTGGTAGCGGATGTTTTTGTTATGTCGTATGAAGTGCAACGAATAATAAAAGGAGGCCACCAAAAAGTAATAGTAACACCATTCCTATCGCCTATGCGATAGCGTGTACATATGTATGTGCAAATAAATATATAGTAATTCAACACATATAGCGGGAATAGTGAAAATCAGTGTATTTTACATTCTATGCTTCATTGCGTCATTCCTGTCTGGCAGTGTTTCTTTGTTTTGGTTTTGTTCCTCACGCGGGTGCGTCTATGCCTTGTGGATGCATGTCTATCTATATCTAGTTCATTGTGTACATGTGCATTTTCCGTATTTCATTGTGAATTTCCATCCGGGCGCTATTTAACATTTCCTTTTAATTTTTTTTTTTTGTTGGCTGTCAAAGGAACCTCGAGAAAAATTGTTGCTGCAATTTGGCTATCTGTACAAGTGCAAAACCTACGTCAGTGCGCCTGGCCGAAGGACGACGCCTTTTTAACAATAAAAAAAAGACTAACAAATTTGGCCAAGATAAGGCATGCCGCGATTAATAAATAAGTAAACAGTGTATAGTGAGTGGAATAGTCGGAACAAAAAAATCAAACAATAACAACAACTATAATAGCCACCAGTAAGCTATCTGCGAAAATCGCAATAAAGGCTTAAAATGGACACATTTCGAAAGTGGCTGAATAAACCAAAGGTAGGTAGATATAAAGATATAAACAAAAACAAGTATTTGTGGTATTGCAAAATGTTTATAACAAAAAAAAAACACTTTGGTTATCGTTTCATTATACTTACATACGTACGTACATATCAGAGTTGTATGAATTCAGGTTTTTCTTTAATTAATAAATCGAATCTGTTGCTCTGCCTATGTTAAATAAAATGTCATTAACTTTTAATTAATTACTAAGTTAAATATTTAAAACATTTTTGTTTGTCAGTTTTATTATTATTGCAATTGTTTTTCCGAATTTCAGTAAATGTTTCGAAGATAAATTTCACTTCAAAGAAGAATATATAACGATATGCTACTTTAAAGCCACTGACGACACTTTTTTTTTATTAATATCTACTTATTTCGGAAGAGAGAGTTTCTTCCTCATTCCATTCTGTGATTCCGCTTGGCTGCTGCGCATACCATGCGGTCTGAACATTAACAACAATTCACTGCATGCAAGAAGCAACGTCACAATAACTGTTGCAGGCAAAACTCATTAGCAACATTTTTTGCTCATCTCTTCAGTTTTTCTGTTGCTTCTGTCACGCTTATTACTTCTGGTTTTACTATTGCCTCTGTCTTACCAGTTAATTCCAAATAGTGGCATTTCTTCGTTTATCTGTTTCCAATGGGACTACGCACATGTAAACACCACTAATATATGTGTGTATGTATGAATATACATATATACATTCGCCTTTCATTTATTCACGTTGCTTTCAAATTGTATATCTGTATGTGTATCTTTTTGTAGATATAAGTATATTTATGTGTTCGGCTGTGTTGTTGCTCTTCACTTGATTGCAAGAAGCCTTCAATTCTTCAACATTGGTCGATCGCATGCAACAATTTAGCACACACTAACTGGGCCTCATTCGAAGCCGGATATGAGGAATTTGCTCGTAGCTGTTAACTGGCTATGTGCTATAGGTATAGATTTGTCGGTATGTTGTGTTGTTTGCTGCTTGCCGCATGTTTCCCGTGTTGCGTGCGCTTGGTCGACAGTGTTTGGCCAACTTTCAGCATATATGATGTAAATTCGCATGGAAAGTTGGCTGTAGGTTGGTTATTTTTAGCACAACACGAGATTATTTCCTTAGTGTTTGATAGCTCAGAGCTGAAAAATGTTTTTTAATAAAAAAAATTAAAAACTACAAAATATAAGATAAAAATAAAATCAAATAATAAAATAATATATAGGTGTTATAATATATATATATATAAATTATGCACGTGACAAGCTGAGTTGATTTAGCAATGTCCATCTCTCTGTCTGTGTTCCCGCAAATCTGCAGTTTTTGAGATATCGATCTGAAATTTTGCACAAGAAGCTGCTCATATAGCTGCCATACAAACTTTTAAATTCATTTCTTGTATGGAAAATTTTTTTACGGAATTTTTAACGGATTATTGTTCAAGGCAAACAATATACGCACAAATTGTTTAGAGCGGCCAACTATCGCATATGTATGTACATATATCTGCCATACAAACTGATCGATCAAAATCAAGTTCTTGTATGGAAACTAGTTTATTTGTGATATGTGAATTATAGCCTCGGTGCAACCTAAGTTAATTTTTTTTTTCCTGTTTATTAAATATTAAGCCTCTAATAACAGAGCTGTTAAATAAAATTTTAAAATTTTTTAGTAGCATAAAAGTATTTCTTAAGTGCAATGTGCGAAAGTAAAAGTTTAAAAATACAATAGTTACAAATGCACAAACGTTATAAATATACATACGTATTTATATATTTATACAAGTATATTTATATATGTATAAATGTGTTAAAGAAAGCCTTTCGAAATCAATTGACACTATTTAATTGCCAACTTTTTCCTACACGCTCGCCGCTATGCTGTATTTTCACTCTTTTTAGGGGAAAATACACGAAAGCTGGTGGCCACGCAATCCCACGCCGTCTGCCACAGCTGCTTTCAAATTTGGCAATAATGCAAAATGCATACATACATACAACAATCATATGTACATACATACATACAATATACAGGTAAAATGCGGCAAAAATTAATCACTGAACATAGAAATGTAATTATTTAATGCCGGTGAAAGGAAAAATGCGGCGAAAAATGAATGAAATACATACAAACACATGGAGGTGAGAAATAAAAAGTGCAGAAAGATTTCGGTTTCTACGAAATTGTCGAAATTTTTGCTGCTGTTGAATGCTGCGCCCACACACCCAAACTGCCGGAACTTGTTTATATTCATGCACACACGCTTACATAGGTTTTTTGTTTTCTCCAACTTTTTAATTTTCACACTTGGGGATATTTCTTCCGGTCACATCACGGTCAAACAGCTGTTCTCCCAAAGTGCCAGAAATAATTCAATTTTACTACTTTATTCAGACTCAATTCGTTTTACGCCTCTGTTAAGCCTCTGATCTTAGCCTGTCGTTGTGTTCTATTTATAACATTTGTAAGTTCAGATAATCACGTATTACTTCTGTTGTTGCGGTTTTTATCATATTAAAATGTTATTTTTCATTACTTGGTGCAACAGTCCAAATGTTTTGTCGGCTTTTCGTTTTGGTGCTAAAAATATTTTGAATGTACAATATTTGGTGTGGTGGCTCGCATTGACGATGACGTAGGCAATATGAATATTTGAAAATTGCTCTCAAGGGAGTGGTGTGTCGAAAATAAACGTTTATATTTAAATTTACTTGGTTCGATGAAGGCGATTCGATGGCACCAATCTTTGCTTACAATGTAAGTTGTATGTATGGTAATGTGGCCTATAAATAGTCGATTACATACGCAAAGAGTGACACTTTTTAGCCAGACTGCATGCGCATAGGGTGACACATATATTTAAAGTTAATTTTTTTTTTAATAATAAACTCGGTTCTTCAAATATTTTGTATTCTGTGAAAATATTCTTTTTGATACAAATGATTGATTATGGGCATAAGTCTTAATTAAATTTAAGGGGGTATCATAGGGTGACACATATATTTAAAGTTTATTTTATTTTATTTTTTAAATGTCTTTGAAGAACACTTTTTATTCTGTGAAAATATTATTTTTGATACAAATGATTGATTATAGTCTTAATTAAATTTAATAATTTTTGTCGATCCAAGTAAATGCTATTCAAGGTAAATTAAGTTTTCCAAGCATGTAAATATGTACTAAATTTGGAATCCAATTTATATACATTTCATTTTTATTTATTCTTCAATGCTCACACATCCCTGCATTTCATTTGTATAATTTCCTTTTATTTTTCTGTTCGACGCAGTTTGCATTGCATGTTTGTTGTTGCTCTTTTTGCCTATAGTATATTGAATTTGCAATATGAGACACGTTTATTGGGGCCAAGCGAAGCGATGCTATTGCGCGATTTGCTGTCGGTGTTGCTGTTGTACTGTCGTCATCGGCCGTAGTTGTCACCGTCGTCATTGTCGGCAGCGTCATCATCGACTATTTGGATATGCCGTCAACAGCGCACACGTTGCTAATAAGTTGCTTTTTCATTTTTACAGTGTACTGAAATGAATTTATTTCGGTAAAAAAAAACATTATTTAAATTTAAAAATTATAATAATTCAAAATTCTCATTGCTACATTTATCAACATCAAGTTCATGTATGGTAAACTTTTTTATTTGACAAACTATCTTCACAAATTTTCGTATGGATTATTGTCCAAGGCTACGGTACAATCTTCAAGCAAATTGTGCAGATCCGGCCACCATTGCATATAGCTGGCATACACATTGAACGTTCAAAATCTAGTTCCCTGTATGGAAACTTCTTTAGTTGTGAAGGATATTATAGCTTCGGAAGTTAATTTTTTTTTTCATCACCTTTCGGTTTTTTGCGCTCTTCATATTTGTTGCTATATTTATTTCCCTGTAGAAAAATTTTGGGTATGTTTTAGATGGAAGGACGCGTTTTTGTTCTCTAATTTTAAAGAAACCGATTTTTTCCAGCTTTAGTTGTAATATTTTTTATAAGGTACTTTTTTTTTTCAATTTGCAAATATTTCTTTTTCCAATATTTTTAAATTTTTTTTCCAATATTGAAAATTTTTTTTTCCAATATTTTAAAATTTTTTTTCCAATATTCAAAATTTTTTTTTAAATTTTTTAGTTGTTATTTTTTATAGCTTTTATTTTTGTTTATGTTTTTATTTGCAATATTTCTATATTGTTAAAATATTTTAGTTATTTAATTTATTTATATTAAAATATATATTTTTTTCAATATTAATAGTTATTTATTTCCATTTTGTTTTTTAATTTTTTTATTTCAAAATTTTTTATTTATTTTTATTTTAAAAATTTTAAATATTTTTTTAACTTCTATTTATTTTGTATTTTAATTTTTTTATTTTTTAATACTCCCGGGTATTTATGCTCACTTATTATATTTTGTTTTGTTTTCTTACGCCCATATTGACATTGAATTCAGCTGTAATGGCGCTCTGTCGCGCTCACAAACCTAGCTACCCAGCTCCGTCTGCGTTTATGTTACTGTTTTGAAATACATGTGGGACTAAACAAATACAAATAGCAATGATTTATGTATGTATGTATGTACATATATGTATATGCGCGAAGATTGTGATTTGTATCACGTTTTGCATGTTTTCGGAATGAAAAATTTTCGAGAATCAAATTTAGAAATTGCTTAATATCGTTAAATTGTTGCTATAAATAAGCACGAGAGGCGGCAATGATTTTTTTTGGAATAAACAGTGCAAGGGGTATTCACAAAATATTAAAAAAAAGTGATTTAAAAAAAGAAACAACTTTTCTAAGGTGGTTTACGGTTCGATTTATAAAAATATTTATATTATATATATATTTTACGTAATATATATCTATACATGTAGATATTAATTTTTTTTTAATATAAAACATGCGTTAGAAAACTTCCTCATCATCAAAAAATCCTTTCACTTTCCACAACAGTTAACATCAATACGAAATTTTAATGACCTCGACTTACGAATAATTTTCTGCTAAAAAATAACTGCATTTAAACTGTTTTGCCAAGCGTAAGCTGCTTTTTACGATGCTCTATTGAATTTTAGTTCATTACATTTAAAAAATTTTATGTTTGCATATTCACTTTTTCAACGCTTCCCCGGCGGTGAGTGGCATTCTTGCTTTTCATTGGTTGTGTTTGTGCACCGTTTACTTCAATTTCACTTTGAATGCGACTGGTAAGCGGCCACAGCAGTGGTGACGGCGACAGTGACGGTGACTTGATGAATTTTGCTTTGGGTGCGCTTTTCGCCATAGCGGTTTTCTTGCATTCACCTCAACGCTTGAGGGAATTTCTTTTCTGGTCACACAAATGCTCTTAATGCTGTTAACACACACACATCCATATACAATATTTATATAGATATTTCTTTATATACTTACATATAATACGAGTATGTTATTATATATAGAAGTGGAAATGTGTTTTTTTGCTGCCTTTGGGCCGCCACGTGCTGGGCTCGTAATTACGAAAAGCACTGACACAAATTAAATTGAAATGTAAAACGAAAAAAAACATAATCATAAAATATTAAATACTAAATGTGTATGTGCATAAACTATAGAAAATGTGGCAGCGTAAAGAACTTTTATTTCACTGTGCGCTGCCGTAAATCTTACACGCTTTCTCAATTGACTTAGTACGCCCAACTTACAAACAAACTTACATACTTATAACTAGCACTGAATGTTTAACAAATGAAAAAAAAATTTAAATATAATCTCCAATTATTTAATGACAAGTTAGAGCTGCGGCGACTTATGTGGTTTTACAACAACAACGAACAGCAAGAAGTTTCTCTAAGTTAATGGTACTAAAAGTGATGCTTTCGATTTTTTTTTTAAACATTCATTGAAATCAAAATTTATATAACATATAAATAAAAAAATTTCTAAAAAATTTTAAAGAAATTTTTTTTTATAAATTAAGAAATTTAAATTAAGAAAATTTATATAGACTAAAATATGCCTATAAAAAATTAATAATAAAATTAGTAATATTAATATTGTATTATTATAAGTAATATATAAATTAAATTAAAATATTTAATTACAAAAATATACTTAGTACGTCTGAATGTATATAAAAATTTGATAGAAAAATAAAAAGAATAAATATTAAAAATATATGTATATAATGTAATTTCAATAAAAAACCAAAAACAATTGCAAAAAATAAATCAAATTCGCAAAATAGGAAAAAAAATTAATTAAAAATTAAAATTAAAATTAATTATATTATATACATATACATATGTATAAACAAATAATGAAAATAAATTATGAAGAAAGTGATAAAATAATAAAAATAAAAATGAAATAAAATTATTATCTAATATAGTATGTACGTACATACATATAAAAAACAAACAATTGAGGAAAATTAATTTTAAAAAATTATAAAAATTGAAAATATTACATTCATTCAAATAAATATTACATTCATAATATTTAAACAATTAATTTATCAAATAAAAATGTAAAATAATTAACAAAAAAATTAAGAATTAAATATTATTATAAATAACATATAAAATAAAAAAAAATTAATTCAAAAAAATATACAAATTAAGATATAAATACAATATTAAAAATTAAGATATAAAATAAAATAGAATTGGAATTTAAAAAAATATATGTATAAATTTATATATGTATGTATATACATATGTATGTAGGTTAGGTTAGTCTTATAGCCTAATAATCCCACTAAAAATAGGAACACATTAAAACAATTTAAATTACAATAAAAATATTTTGCAAAATATAAAACAAATTTAAAAATATATTAAATATTAATATAAATATAATCCATTTTCATATGAATGTAGGTTACATAAAATGCGAATACTGTAAAAAATAATGAAAACAAATTATAAAGAAAATAGTTTTATAAAAATATTAAATTGAAAATAAAAACAAAAAATTCTTCAACAATAAAAAATAAAATAAATTTTAATTAATAGAGTAAAATTAATTTTAAAAAATTAAAACAAAATAATTAAAAAAAATTTAATTGAACATTTTATACATTTAAAAAATAATGAAAATTAATTATATAGAAAATCATGACATAAAGTTATAAAAAATAAAATGTAAAATAAAAACAAAATAAAATTTTAAATTTATACCAAAAAAAATTTTAAATTTATTAAAAATATTTTTTTAATTCAGAAAATTAACGAAAAATAATATTATTAACTCTATTGATATATAAATAATTGTATATGAAATTAAATAGGTAAAACAATTAAAAAAATATTTAAAAAAAAACCAAAAATTAAAAATGAATTTAAAAAAATAAAGACATTTTTTTTTAATAAATATGTAAATCATTTAAAATTACAAATAGCATATTTATATATTTCTGATTCAATAATTATTTATTTCATTTATTCTCACCCACTTGTAGCATATCCAGGCTGGTAAAACGAAAAACTAAAATAATTTATTGTACAAAGCAGAAAAGTCAAATATTTTAATGTTATTTCTATTTGCGAGCGCAAAAATGCTGCACACATGGCTATTAATTTTTTTTTCTCCCTTGAAAACAGACATCATTCGCTTGCGTTATGTACTCATTAAGAATTTTCCTATTGCATAATAACAGCAACCCTGCCACACTAAAAGCAAAGAACAAAAATTAAAATTACAATATTTGTAACCCTACGCTTTCATAATTTCTGCCTATTTTTGTAATTTTTGTTCTTCAATAAAAGCTTTCGGCGCGCTTCGCACGGCGCTGCCGCACAATTAAATCTGAAAACTGTAACTGTGTGTGTTGTCTGCATATTTCGAGAGGCAGGCAGGCAGCCAGACACAGTAGCCGCTGATCGCTTTTATTTTGAGCATCGCCTACGTCTACCGCCATGCCGCACTTGCTTTCTCTGTACCTTTTCTGCACTTTTTCATCCTCAATTCGCATTCCACCACCGGCGCCCGCCTTTCCCAATGAGTCGCAACGTTTAAAATGTATTTCGCATGCAGCGACGAAGAGTGGGAACCTGTTGCGCCACAGTGCCGGCATCTACTACTCATATGCATAGCGTGTAGAGCGCAAGCAAAATGTCATATGACGCAAAAAGTAAAAGTGTCCGCTGATGATTTGTATTTGTAGACAGTCTCTAGTGTTTTTCTAAGTTTTCCTCTGTGGTTTTCTTTTGTGTCAATTTTACCAAGAAAATCAGGTCAATGGACTAATTTTTAGAAAAATGCATCTACTTTCTGTTGTGCGACTTGTTTGTGTCTTGTTTATACACATACTTGTGTTAGTCAGCGTCTAATTGTGTGTGTGTCTTGTAGTTTTGGGTGACCACATTCAGCGTTTGCTTTTATTCATAGTGATGAAGATGCTTTTGATTTAATTTCTTGAGAAACACCTTGTACAATTTTCTATTTTTGAATGTTTGACCAAATACTGAATTTTTTTTGTTTTGTGTTGTTACTTAGATTTTGTTTCAGCGTCTTTTTTCAGCTTCATTTGACTCAATAGCCAACTTTGCACTTTTTACTTAAATGCTTTCACTAAAATATTTTTTTTTTGTTTTGAGTCAACTTTCCTTCTCTGTAGGGTGCGTTGCAAATTTTTCTCGTAAATTTTTTATGATTCATGCTATTTATTTACCCAACTTAACGTGTTAGTCTAACTAATATTACACTGCATGGCATAGCAGTTGAGCAATTTTTGCTGAAATTCCGCAGTTAAAACTCCAAAGAGCTGATTTCCCTGCATCAAATTAGTTCTTGGATCAACCTTTTGAAATATAATATGTTAAATCAAATTCAATTCTTTATCGACATTATTCTTCAACATATCGTCCCTTGAAGAAAGTTTCAATATTTTTCAACATTTATCATTCGAATTTAAATTTTTTATGTTTTTCATCTCACCAATCATATGAGCAATCACTTAAAGTCATGTAATTCAAGCATACAAATGTATGAAGTTACCAATATTTTGGCCTCTTTAGCTTGCAAAGAAGTGTTTGCACTAAATTTGTAGCATATGGCATCCGCAAGTTATGACGACCATGCTGTCGGATCAATTTTGTATATCTTTTTCGAGTATATAATTAGTCTTATATTGTCGATAACAGGGATTCTAACTGGGTAATTGTAGCGGATTTATCAGCATAGGCATTGAGTTGTGATTTCTCAAAACAGCCGATTCTAGCATTCTAGTGTGTTGTCTGGTATAAGAAAAAACTCAAACTTGCCAAATATTTTTCATTCAGACAAAATTTTTTATCAAAACTACTAATTTACTTTATTTGTTTTATTTTTATTTATTTTTATACCGAAACCAAGAAAAATTATAGCATTACAACAAATGTGAAAATTTTAGCAATTTTATAACATAATAATTAATAATTAGATAATAAGGAAGCAAAGACAGTTTTTTTTTAAATTCGCGTGTATTCAAATCATACATATTATTATTATGTATACATACATATATTATATTATTAACTGTGTTAAGTAAACGGTGATGATATATCTCAAAAGCAAAACTGCTCTCATTTTCTGTATAAAATACTAATATAAGGGTAAACATCTTTCTAGCATATAGTTTCTGCTTGTTAATATTATTAAATAAATACCCTGTAGGAAATCTAAATGTGCATGCAAATTTCCCACCACTTTTGTTTAACTTTTTTATTCTAAATTTTGCATAGCAATAAGCCATTCGTGCTTCTCCCATTACTGTATGTGTATGACACGTGTGTGGAATTTTTATTCAGAAATATGTAAGTATATATGTAAATGTATGTATTGTGAATTTTATGCCGTAATATACACAAAGCCATAAAACACTTGAAATTTAAATGATGCAACTGCCGCAATTCGCTCAATGATTCGGCGCACACAACGCACGAATCGCTTAAACTATATCTGCTTACATACATACATACATACATACAAATATATTGATATGTGAGCACAGCAATTTTTAAGGCATTGCCTATTTCCAGCCAATTTTTAAAGTGCCAAACGCGTCTTGCATTTTTAAGTCAGCAACTAACTATATTGGTGTCACGTGTGAGAATGCGCACACAAATAAAACCTTTCATACACGCATGCGTACAAATAATGCAGTAGAGTTGTGAAGCTGTTTAGATGACACGTTGAAAGGGAAGCTGTGGCTTTTGTTTCCTGCAGACTGTTGCACTTTTCTGCTGTGCTCTCGTGCAATTTTGTTGCATTGTTGTTGGCCAGTTGATATTTTCTCTTGCTGCCATTTTGTGTGGGTGTGAGTCAGTAAGTTTTGGTTTATGTTTCTACGAAGTGAATGTGGGTGCCAAAAGCATGTTTTCGCTGCAACATTTAATG